GAAAAAGATAAATTGCTAGAAATCTAAACTGAGTCTCATAATAACAAAATCAACAAGGTTGACTATGCAATCCAGTCAATGGCTTTTCATACATCTCTGACTAAAATGTTGCATTCAAGTGCAATACTCATCAAGATAGATCTAATTTTTGATGATTCTAAATAATCCAAGTGTATGACCCACTTTACAACACCAGGAATTAGGGATTACAGCTTTCTTGCCTTAACCAAGACATACAGACATTGGGACCCAAGGCTCTTCTCTCATTTGAGTAATGTTTGTGAATATAGACTGGGTTTTGAACCACTACCCATCTAGATGTGGAAAAGGATCAGAGGTCCACTTGTTGATTAACAAAGGACTAAAACAGTTATTTAGCTATGAAACCTGACTGTGTAATTAGGACCAGGACACCATCTAATCTGAAATGGAGACAATTCAGTGCCATGGAAGGGTGTACAACTCATTCATCCCACATGCCAAAGCTTGCACTGTCAGAAAGCATGTCTTGTAAGATACAAGCTTTAATAAGGTTATGACTGAGGGTTGGAAATTGTCAAATCGGAGCCATGTCAAAAGCAATGAAAATTTCCACTTGTGAAACAAGGTGATTTAGGTCCATTCAGGCCAATGTTGGCAGTGAAGTCAGATAGATCAGTGTTGTAGCCTTTCTTCACTCTATCAAGATATCTGAACATTTTGGAACACATTGGCATGACATCCCCTGATAGTAACAGGAGCTGACCTTGTCTCCAATGAAAGCCAGAAAAGAAGGGTAGACAGCTGAGGGATCTAAGCATTCAATGGGATGATGTTACCATCCCTGCATCAGTCCCTGAAAATCTACTGCTTCCCCCTTGCAATACTTCAAAAAGTGGAGATCCTTTTTGCTCATTAGACTCAATCAATAATTTAAGGTTGAAACTCTTTTCAATTCAAGGTTCTCCTGACAAGAACAAGTGGGAAGGAAGATTTCTGTCTATGTAGGGATGAAATGTACTGGGATTTCTCTCAGAAGTGCTATCATAAGATTGAAAATATCATTCATCTATGACATGTCCCCATCTTCTCCATGACTTGTTCATCTAAAAGAGGTGAGCAGAATCACATTGCAAGTCTAGTTTCTGATTTTCTGAATGACTCTCCGAATCAGAACATCTGAAGAGAAGGTGCATTCGAGCTGACTGCTAGAGTCCATGGCTCAATCCTCTGGATATGGGACTGGAGATACAAAGGTTAACAGCTTGTTATTCCACCTCATTGCAGACAGACCATAATTGCTGGATGTTCCCAAAATGAGTAAATATGCTCAAAGATCAAAAACAAAAGTGACCACTTGACTGGCAACATCTGAGTTCTTCCTGACAAAGAAATGACCAAAACATTCAGCTTGCCAGGAATGTGTTTAACCTTATCTGGATCTTGTGCTAGAAACACCAGCATAAAAATCTCCTTGACCAAGATACTTATATTGGGTGATTTGGTCCTCCTTACCTCCACCCCAAACTGAGTTGGTCAGCAACTACTACAGGATTGTTCAACATTACCATGATCATTTTCCTACACAGATGAACTCGCAGCAAGGAATGGCTTTCACTACAGCCTTCAATTCTATAAGGTTTATATGAATGCTTTCTCCTCTGGGCTCCAGTTGTCTCTTACCATCATCAAGTGAGGCAACAGGTGCCCTTCCCCCTCTTTGCTTCCGCCAGATGAATGAACTGATGTACATACAAACCAATACAACCAGATTTAGGCCTCTCCAAAAGAATTCATGCCATATGACGTTACATGACTTGCCACTGATCCTGGAATTATTTCATTTTTGGTCAGGTCATGGATGGTCGAGTGGTCTAAAGTGATATTATTTAATAATTGCTGACATCTCAACTATATTCACATGGGTTTGGGCATTAGGCTTGGCCAATACAGGGATGTGAAAAATCTTACTAGTAGTTTCCACTTGGTTGTTGGTTCTCATCACAGTTTTCCAGGAGTAATACCCAATTCTTTCCCTCAGGTTCCTCTTCCACCAGTTATACTGGCCATCATGTATAGTACATTTCGTGCTGAGAAATAGCATTAAATCCAAAACAACAAGAGCAAAATGTCTGGTCAAGATTATAATGTGCTTATCCATGTGTCCAGAAAAGGAGCACTAGTAGGCTGGCAGTGCTATTGGCAGAGAGCACATAAAATGTGGCTTAGAGGAATCAAATTTGCCACTGCATTTTGTAAACCAAGGCACTACAGATTATATCTCACAGAAACCCACTTCTTGTTTTAGATGGGTCAGTAATTCTACTTAGTATGGTTCCAATTCAACATGTCAGGAACACAAAGCTCACAAATTTGGAAAAATATGAAGAAAAAAATTCACTGAAAAAAAAACAAACAAAGATATAGAGACCTCATGCCCATGGGATATAATGTGGGACAATTTTTATGCAATAACTTTAAATGGTGAGGGACATGTTGATGAGTAACCACATTATTTTTAAGTTGAGGGACTGGGTAAGAGTTTTTTCCCTTTGTTTACATAATATACAGATAGGGAAGACACGTGTTTTGTTTTCCTAGGACTGTTGGATTTGAGAGACAGCAGAGAGTAATTCCTAACATTAATGCCTTTGAGAATATATTCAATGCAGAAATATGAGTACTGGTATATGGTAAGCATTGAGGCAGAATGTTATACTCAACATTGATACACCTAAATGATGTGCTTTGTAATATTTTTAATATTTCATTAAATCTGACTGAATTATAAATGGGGTTTATTGTATTAAGGCTAAACATCACAGCAAAAATCTACTTAAGATGCAGGGGTATAGGTTTAACATAAAAATGTATAATGGTTATACTTCAATGATACTAGCAGAGTACAGTTGTTGCATTATCCAAAGTGAATATAACCAGTGTAAACAAGGAAGAAAGGTAGCAATAAGTTGAGTAAGCCATATGTTAATTTCTTCAAAAACTTACTGTCAGAGAAAGAAGAGAACAAGAAAAAGTGCAAGCTATGTAGAGTGAATAATAGATAGTAGCAAGGTAAGAGAAGGAAGAAAGGCAGGTGAAGTTAAGCAAGCATTGCAGAAGAAAGTCATATCTGATACCTTCACCAGCTATTTACTTGCTTCCTCTTTCGTTTCTCCAGTTACATCCACTGGCAAATGATTTTCAAATTCTACCCAAGTTCACTTAAGCTGACTGGACTGCAAGTTCTTGCTAACTGTATGATTATACTTGCAACTGTATAGTTACACTTGCAATAGCTCTGCTGTTGGCCCAATTTGGTCTATGGATACAGAAAGTAAAATGTGGGATAGTGGATTTCAAAGCCAAGTGTCTACCATACAGATACTATATCATTCATTTAGCTCTAAAGGATCTTTTTCACCTGTTGAATAGATTAGATATTTAACCAAAAAATGTCAATCAGCAAAGCTAATGAGACTCTGGTGTCTCACATACATTGATTGTTGGACCTATTACCTGTGCATGATTTACATATACATTAACACAAAATATTAATATTACCTGTGCAGACTTACAAATATATTAGCACTAAAAATATTAATATTACCTGTGCAGACTTGCAAATACATTAACACAAAAATTTAATATTACCTGTGCATGGCTTACAAATACATTAACACACAATATTAATATTACCTGTGTAGACTTAAAAATACATTAACATAAAATATTAATATTACCTGTGCAGACTTAAAAATAAATTAACACAAAATATTAATATTGTTGACACAAAACCCTATTACGGCCATGTGAGAAAAGATACTTGTTTCTTCTTATGCTTGTACAGGTGAGACAAATATGAGGATCTCAATAATAAGATTACTTTTCAGTTTAATAATTTATTAATTTTAATTTCATTATCCTTGTCAAATTTAATAAATTCATTCAATTTTTTGTGTTAATCTCCTTTCACATTTATCTGTATTGATGCATAAATATGTGGATTTGGTATAGGTTCATATTGTTTTGAAAGATGGATCATTGCTTGCTGGGTCGTCAAATTCATATTTTCTAGCAACTATAAATTACAAGTAAAAATTGGTTCTTCATTTAAAACAGTGAATTACAAGTAAAATTTGGTACTGCATGAAAAATAATGAATAACAAGAAAATTGATATTTCATTAATTTTTTTTTACTTATCTACATATTTTACTGTAACAAATCTCACCTTTTCTTCCTGAACAGGCAAAGACAAATCCAGGAATGGTTCTAAAGTCTGGGAGATCTTGAAAACAAAACAAAGTTACAAAGATTGAAAAAATTTCAACTTCAAGAGAAATAAAACTACATTTATATGCAACTGCCTGAAGAAATGGGATTTCACTGGTAAGCATGATAAAATTAATTAAAGAGAAAATCCAGAGTAAAAATGGATAAAATAAAAATTCATTGGATAGAGTTCACATTATTACAGATATACAATCTGAGCACATCTGGTCCACCAGTTTAAGTGAAAATCAACTTTTAATATCTCAATTTTCCAGATAAAGCAGACAGTTTTGCCATTCTCTTGCAAAGGGCACTTTGTTTGTGACATGTAACAAGCACTTGCAACTATTTCTCTGTCATCATCAACTATTTTTCAGTTATCAACCTCTGTATTGAACTCAAGCTGACTAAGAGAGATATTGCTGTGTTCAAATATTCCTCCCTGACTCATTCCTCCTCCTTGCCTTCTATATTTTTCTTAAAATAATGTGTCTATGTGTGTATGTTTGTGTGTGTTTTAGATTTTTAACATAGCTTTAACTTTTTTTCAGTCACATTGCTACGATGTCTGCAGAGTGACAGTTTATAGCAATTTCTAGCACTGGGGCATCATGATGCAGACATGTAGCATTATGTCCCACCCAGTCACATTATCCTGACACCAGACTGTCCAGTCCTAACACTAACCTCTTAAAGCTGAGCAGCATCCAGCAAGGCAGCTGTTAGTACCATTATTGGAAGTCTTTGGTGTGTCTCAGACAGGGTTTGAATCCATGACCTCCTACATCCAAGGTGGATGTTTTAACCACTAGGCCACCAGAGTGACCCTCTTAAAGTTTGTAAAGTGGTGTTTATTTATCTTTTTTCTGATCTGATATGTTTTGAAGTTTGATAAGATCCATCTCCTCAAATATTTTTTTTCTGTCAGATAACATCCACACTTACATTGTAAACATTTCACTTAACATCTGGTGCCATTTTCTTTAAAAGAAGAGACTAGTTCACAACTTCCTTAGCTTATCAATAAAATGAATCTATGAAGCAAAGTCCACATTTAAAGAAACTCATCTTGTTTATTGGAAATGAGTCATATACAGTTGCAATAAATAGCAAATATGGAAAGAATTAAAGAGATGATAATAATCTTCATTTGGGAACAACTAGACATTATACAAAGTGTTTTTGTCAATGAAAATCATGCCAAGAAGTAAGAATAACAATATATTCAAGATAGTCACTATGGTGGTATCAGAGAAGTACCATTTTAATTTAGGACAAAATGTGGCCATATTGAAGGTTAAATCAATATATTTTCATTTAGGATTTTAATGAAAACCTAATTACTGATATAATCATTAAAGCAGGTGTAGCAAATATGAGATTTACTAATTAAGCCATGGTGGAGATCAGATCAACACCATTTTTATTTACAACCAACTAGAAAGATACCATTAGTCTTTGGGTGAAACGTCATACTGGAGGTCTAGTGATAACAAGAGTCTAAGTCTTTGGGTGAAAACTTCATACTAGAGGTCTAGTAATAACAAGAGTCTAAGTCTTTGGGTGAAAACTTCATACTAGAGGTCTAATGATAACAAGAGTCTAAGTCTTTGGGTGAAAACTTCATACTAGAGGTCTAGTGATAACAAGAGTCTAAGTCTTTGGGTGAAAACTTCATACTAGAGGTCTAGTAATAACAAGAGTCTAAGTCTTTGGGTGAAAACTTCATACTAGAGGTCTAGTGATAACAAGAGTCTAAGTCTTTGGGTGAAAACTTCATACTAGAGGTCTAGTGATAACAAGAGTCTAAGTCTTTGGGTGAAAACTTCATACTAGAGGTCTAGTAATAACAAGAGTCTAAGTCTTTGGGTGAAAACTTCATACTAGAGGTCTAGTGATAACAAGAGTCTAAGTCTTTGGGTGAAAACTTCATACTAGAGGTCTAGTGATAACAAGAGTCTAAGTCTTTGGGTGAAAACTTCATACTAGAGGTCTAGTAATAACAAGAGTCTAAGTCTTTGGGTGAAAACTTCATACTAGAGGTCTAGTGATAACAAGAGTCTAAGTCTTTGGGTGAAAACTTCATACTAGAGGTCTAGTGATAACAAGAGTCTAAGTCTTTGGGTGAAAACTTCATACTAGAGGTCTAGTAATAACAAGAGTCTAAGTCTTTGGGTGAAAACTTCATACTGGAGGTCTAGTGATAATGAGAGTCATAAGTTTTTGAGTGAAAACTTCATACTGGAGGTCTAGTGATAACAAGAGTCATAAGTCTTTGGGTGAAAACTTCATACTGGAGGTCTAGTAATAATGAGAGTTTCAAGACTTTTGCTCAGTAGCCATAGTAGATCTAGTATTAGCCCCATCTTCATTTGGGAACAACTAAACATTTTGGTGAATGAAAAACAATGTCAAGGAGAAGTAACAATAACAACATATTCAAAATGGTCACTACAGTGGTGTCAGAATGGCACCATTTTAATTTAGGATTAACTTATACCATGGATTGAACATGTGTGTGATGTTTCCATGGCAACCCTTCATGTAGTACACAAGTTGCAATAACAAACTGGTGCTAATAGAAGGTCAGACAAATATTCATGGATAAACAACTCATAAACTTGTCTACTGGATGACCATTAAAGCTAAACATTTACTTACATACTGGCATTCTTCACACATTACAGTGCTAACAAGACAGCCTCCAAACAAAGCATCCACAAATGTGTGCTTAACCTGACGACCATACACTGCAAAGGAAAACAGATTAGGTACATTTATATAATATTCACAATATTTATATCTATATAGTCTCTGTTAGGTTAAATCCCAAGACTGATCATTTTGCATACTGTATAATGATCTCTCCATTCCCAACAAATAAGATTTTCTTTAAAGTGCATGCATTCTTTCTGTACTAGGCAGTAACTGATTTCGATCTTTGTTCTTTAAGAACACTTGCCACTAATTTTATACAGAAAAATGGGAACTAGCCTGGAAATGGGTGAACATAAAATAGAGTATATATGAGTTTGGCTGGCCAGGATTGGTTAATAATATAAGTTCGGTTTTAGGAAAAAGAATCTTTGGAGAGCTTATCCTAGTTGTAAGTGAAAAAAAGAGACATTTGTTTGTTATTGGAATTTAAGTCCTTTAACATTCTTGAGTTTGGAACACTCATATTAAAATTAGCACATAAACTCTTTGGTTTGGAATTGAAAGCACATATTTCAAACATATGAAAGCTGAAATACAGATTTCATCTATACTGATAAATATAGGTTTGATCATGAGACCTCAGAAATATTAAGTTATTGAATTTTCAATATGATGGTGTTTGCATAGGTTTTCTGTGGGAAATGAATTTAATATCATGAGTCTTTAAATTGCTGTCAGTTTTGTAGACAAGTTCAAAAATATCAATGGCTGAGAAATTTACATCAGTAACCACCTGGCACTTCCATTCATTATATGGTACAGTATTCATAATACCCATGGGTAGCCTCATTTTCTTATTGGTTGCCTTGCTAATCTGATCTGGTCTGCCAAATCTTGACCCCAAAAAGGTGTTATTTGGAATAGCATATAAATTAGCAAGTAAATATCACTATGAAGCCATGTGATTCTTTAAATAATGGAAGTGGCAACAAAAACTTGAATGAATTGTTTACCTAGTTGTAATAATTGATAATGGAAGATTTCCTGGTAAAAAAATATCATCTTATTATAAGGCCTGCAAATATTATACATATCTCTGGTGATTTGAGCCTTGGACATATTTGACTCTGCTACATGTGTGTTTCTGTTCTGTCATTGAATGTTTGGAATCATAATGTGGGGAAAATATGAACTCTTTCAATTGTAATTATCCCAAAGATGCTGTAGAATCTCAGATTCATTTTGAATGCAATAATTAGAATGCACTTCGAACCCAGTTGAAATTATAATACAATTCAATAAATGTGTAATCAAGCTTTAAACACAGCTCATGTAATTCATATTTACATAATGAAGAAAGAACATTTTGATGAAATTTTAGATGCAAAAATGTAAGTATATTTTTGCTATTCTTACTACCAGCTAAAGAAAATATGTTTACGCATGGTCAGTTGCATGTCTCCCCAGTTATGTTTTGACCTGTACACAGTCCAAATTCGAAACATTGTATCAATAAAGTTAACTTGGAAAATTGCAAAGCTTCTTGTGTATCATAATACATTCACCCAGCATAAATAATACTTCTATCGCAATACATACACCCAGTATAAATAAGACTTCTATCACAATACATACACCCAGTATAAATAAGACTTCTATCACAATACATACACCCAGCATAAATAAGACTTGTATCACAATACATACACCCAGTATAAATAAGACTTCTATCACAATACATACACCCAGTATAAATAAGACTTCTATCACAATACATACACTCAGCATAAATAAGACTTCTATCACATACATACACCCAGCATAGAAAAGACTTCTATCACAATACATTCACCCAGTATAAATAAGACTTCTATCACAATACATACACCCAGTATAAATAAGACTTCTATCACAATACATACACCCAGTATAAATAAGACTTCTATCACAATACATACACCCAGTATAAATAAGACTTCTATCACAATACATACACCCAGTATAAATAAGACTTCTATCACATACATACACCCAGTATAAATAAGACTTCTATCACATGCATACACCCAGTATAAATAAGACTTCCATCACAATACATACACCCAGTATAAATAAGACTTCTATCACAATACATACACCCAGTATAAATAAGACTTCTATCGCAATACATACACCCAGTATAAATAAGACTTCTATCACATACATACACCCAGTATAAATAAGACTTCTATCACAATACATACACCCAGTATAAATAAGACTTCTATCGCAATACATACACCCATCATAAATAAGACTTCTATCACAATACATACACCCAGTATAAATAAGACTTCTATCACAATACATACACCCAGTATAAATAAGACTTCTATCACAATACATACACCCAGCATAAATAAGACTTCTATCACATACATACACCCAGTATAAAATACACCCAGTATAAATAAGACTTCTATCACAATACATACACCCAGCATAAATAAGACTTCTATCACAATACATACACCCAGCATAAATAAGACTTCTATCACAATACATACACCCAGCATAAATAAGACTTCTATCACAAAATATACACCCAGTATAAATAAGACTTCTATCACATACATACACCCAGTATAAATAAGACTTCTATCACAATACATACACCCAGTATAAATAAGACTTCTATCACAATACATACACCCAGCATAAATAAGACTTCTATCACATACATACACCCAGCATAAATAAGACTTCTATCACAAAACATACACCCAGTATAAATAAGACTTCTATCACAATACATTCACCCAGCATAAATAATACTTCTATCGCAATACATACACCCATCATAAATAAGACTTCTATCACAATACATTCACCCAGCATAAATAACACTTCTATCACAATACATACACCCAGTATAAATAAGACTTCTATCACAATACATACACCCAGTATAAATAATACTTCTATCGCAATACATTCACCCAGTATAAATAAGACTTCTATCGCAATACATACACCCAGCATAAATAAGACTTCTATCACAATACATACACCCAGCATAAATAATACTTCTATCGCAATACATTCACCCAGTATAAATAAGACTTCTATCGCAATACATACACCCAGTATAAATAAGACTTCTATCACAATACATTCACCCAGCATAAA